CCAAGTGCAGCACCCTGCACTTGTCCGTGTTAAAACGCAAGAATATGTCACTATCAGATTTCAAATGGAGCTTCTCTTTTCTTCATTAGAAAGAAAGATACCTAGGTGGCATGCTACATCTGTAAAAGTGCTCTTCAGGGGCAGTAAGCTAGACTTCTATTGAACCTGCTTTCTTTGACAAAAGATAGGGTAGATTTGCACCTTATAGGCCATGTCTACCTGAGACACGGACTGCACAGTCATTACTGAGCAGTCATTTAGTACTTGTTTATACAAATACTAAATGACTGCGCAGTAATCAGAATTACTGCACAGTAGCGCCACTCAACAGGAGTAGCATTCCGTCATGCTTCCTGCCATGTAATGCCACTGTGCAGTAACCACAGGCTACTGCACAGTCAGGAAGGACTGTTCTGATATTCACATCTGTAGCTGGCTAGTGTCTGCAATCTGTCCCTGAGGTCTCTTCCAATCCCAGTGCTCTGGGGGAGGGATGGCAGCCTGCTGTCATCCCGTGTGCACATCTGGGGACCCACACCCTCCGGAAAGAGTCTGGCACAGCCCATGCGCAGATCTCACACGCAGATCTGGGCACTCACGCTCCCTAGGAGTCCGGCACAGCCCCACAGCCCTCTCAGGGGGCACAGGCTCCCAGATCTGTGTGCAGGATGACAGCATGCTGCTGTTGCTGGCTGGGGCCAGTGCCAACACCTGAGTCTGGTCAGCGCAGCCCGCGAGGAGCACTGGAAAGAACCCAGTGCTGGCGCTGGCCTCAGCTGGCAGTGGCAGGCTACTGTCATCCTGCAGGCAGATTTGGGGGCCTGTGCCCCCTGGGAGGAGCCTGGCATAGCCCTGCAGCCCCCACAGGGGGTGTGGGCCCCTGGATCTACATGTGGAATGACAGCATGCTGCTGCTGCCAGCAAATGATGTGAGTTTTGCTTTCAACAATTTGAGGTGAAGTTTTACAGAAACATCTGCACCTATCTCCTTGAAAGCTGGCAGGCTTCGCCCTCAGATGGGGCTGCCATCCCTGCAATTTTCATCCAAATCAGGCATGAAATGACAATGTTATAGGCATTTTAGTGATTTTCCATTGTAGCTTATAGCCAAATCACTGAAACAGTGTTGAAACGCTGAAAAAGATTTGGCTGAATCAAAATGGAACAGCAATCCAAAACACTAAAATGAATCACTGTCCCTCTGAAATGGCCAGATCTGAAACCAAATCAAAACACAGCCGGTTCGCGCAGCCCTACTGTTGGCACTCTCTATGCTGTATGTATCCTTTTCTGTATAGAAAACTTCACTCTACAGTGCCATCAGTCACTTTTACCATGAGGAAATATTCTGAAAAATACCTCTTTACCAGCTGAATATAAAAGATTGGGCCCACCCTGAGAGACTTGGGCTAAGGAGACCATAGGTAAATGGAACAAACAGAAACACAGACACGAATGGCTTAACATATTTCACTATTTAACCATGTCCCTTAAAAATGACGCCCAATATTTCTTGTGGCTTGAAGCCATGCTCCAGGTCCTCAGGCATCACAGAGTTGGCATTCATCATGCAATACATGCTGCATGTACAAAGGAGACAACTCTACTGTACCCACCTTACCATCCTTGCCAGGCTTCCCAGGCTCCCCTGCTCTGCCCTGTTGCAAGAAGGAAAGGCACATTAATTAGACTCCTGAGGGCCCCTTATTTAATTGTTTGACTGACTGATCTCAGCCTCCTAGGTTTCAGGCCATCAGGCTGGGCATAGAGCTAACAGAACATCAAAGAGATTTCAAGGGCTTTTTTTAGTCAGGTTTCTGCTGAGAGCAAGATAATTACACTTGGGGTGTTACTTCCTCCCCATGGCATTCTGCAGTCTGGAAAGGAGGAAATGGCACTTGTGTCACCCTCTCACACATGTGTGTGCAGATAGTGATAGCGGAGGATGCACAACTGCTCCCTTCCTCCCATCCTGCTTGGGAATGCTCTTCCACCCATACTCTAGTTCACCCTGGGAATCTGCTGGTAATCACTGCCCTGGCTGGGCTCAGTGGTGGAAATAAATGCCAAAGTTGCACATACTTCAGAGAAAGGGAGAAGTAAATGTTAATTGCTTTTTTGTAAAAAAAACCCCAAAAAACTTACAGGTGGCCCACTTGGCCCAGGTTGTCCTGAATGTCCTGCTGGTCCAGCTGGTCCAGTTGGCCCTGGTGGACCAGGTGGCCCTGGCGGGCCCTGGATCCCTGCCTGTCCTTGTTCACCCTGAGGTTCATTAAAACAAGAGTTACCATCAGAGTTAACCTACAGCACAGCGTTAGAGGTGTGTGACATATAGCAAGTCAGCCCGAGAAGGGGAAGGAGAAGCGAGTGGTAGTTAGTACCCGGAGAGGTTTCCAAAACTGAGGCAAAGGTCCCCTCATGATGATCTTTCTGGATGGATGATGGCAGCCATCCCCTTATAGTTTGCTATTACATCACATAGCTTCTAATTAGTGCTCCCCATAAAAGGGGCATGAAAACTGGGTTAAATTCTACCATACTAACAGGTACAACCCAAATACGAATTGGGATCTTTTTTTTAAGTTTCACAAACTGTAAGAAATTATATATAATAAAATTTAAAATCCCTTGAACCTTTTTTAATATTTTTCATCAAAGCAATTTACACCTAGTTCTGAACAACACTATATAATGAGACAGGTGAATGCTATCATTTTAAAGAGGGATGAACTGAGCCAGGACCACACAGTAACTTACTGATAGATCCATGGAACCTAATTTACATGTGCTTAGGGGTGGGGACGGGGGTGGTTAATTAGAGAGGTTTCCAGAGAGCCACTCTAATTAAAATGTCTCACTGTCACAGGTATTAAGCTCCCGTGCATTAAAAAATGGCCACAGGATGTCTTATCTAAACCTCATTCAACAAGGTTTAGATAAAGCACCCCTGCAGCCATTTTAAAATGAGCAGAGGCTTACACATTTCACGGTGAGGCCACGCTGGAGCGTTCTAATAGGCAGCCATTGTACAGCCTATTCATGTGCTGGTTCCTGTTCTAATCATAACACATCAGAGCAGGCTTGATTAATTTTCCTATTGTTTAACTATTAGACAACAATCCACCCTTTTGACACAGTTTTGCTCTGCTTTCATAGTATTTTGGGAGTCAGCTAGAATCTCAATCAGGAATGAGATTCTTATGGATTTCATAAGGTAGTCTATTCTGGTGAATAAGCTTGCGAATATTCTTGAAGGTACACAAAGACCTCCAAATATTTGTTTACTGATCTGAACCAAGCCCTTCACAGGCGGCCTTTCCTTGGTCACCTCGCAGATATTCTGGAGCATTTGGAAGAGGCTTGTGCCTCTGTTGTCCCAGGGAACAGGCTCAGACCTGGCTCGTGGCAAGCAGTTAGTGAGTTAAATATTGGACTATAAATGATGAATACAGTACATTCCTAGAGCACTGTGGCACTCATGGTAACTACCCATCTCACTCATTTCTTTTTTACAATTCCTTCTACCTAGATAGACGATCACAAAGTCCTAATGCCCGTGACAAGATTTCAGTACAAACTCTTTGTGAACGTACTGGAAGGCTAAAAATAGAATTAGGGATTTATTTAAAACAAAGACATCGGTTTAAGGCCACATTGCAGGAGAAAAGAAAGTTGTCTTGATTGAATTGATACAGCTGACTTGGATAAAATGTTATCCCATTCACATGAGGTCCTGTATATACAAGTGGGTAAACTATGTGTAATATATGTCCCATGCATGTGTTGCCAAAGAGCAATGGGTTTGTCACTATAGGATAATTTGGATATTTAGAGGGAAAGGGAGAATGGGGGTTGGGGCTGCCTAGTGCTGATGGCCACAGTTCTGATGGAAAGTTAGTTTTGTGAACGATTTTGAGATTTCAGAATTTGTTTTTCTTTCTGTTTTGGAACAAAGATCTCAAATTTCAAAAACTGTTTTTTCATGGCAATCTGAGAGAAAAAATTGTTTTGGAATGATTGAAATGTCCAATAACACTGAATCATTTTTTTAATTTAAACTTTTATTTTATATGATGATACAGTATACAGTATTTTAACAATTTGAAAAGAAAAAATGTTTTCTGAAGTTGTCTTGGCATCATCTGAATATTTCTCCCACAACAAAATTTTAGTGAAATTGACATGATTTCATAAAATGTTTCCATTTCAGCAGAATGACATATTGTGATAGAAAATGATGCCACTGATGCTCTTCCAAGCAGTTTTAGGATTTGCCTTCAGACCTGATGACTTCACCCACTGTTGCCTGTTTTCCCCTATATTCTATGCTTTTCCCTCACTTAAAAAATGAGGTGCATCATGCCATGCCATTGAGGCATATCCCCACAGAACTGCTCTGATACTGGAAGAGCTCCAGATCCTGGTCTTTTGTAATCGGGATTGCTCCAAGATTCTGAATGCAGATACAATGAAGGAAGATATGAGACAGCACATGGATCTAGATAGGCAGAGACTCCATGCTATGATTCAGTGTATAGATGCCTAAATGAGAACCAGAACAGTCATAGACTGGCCCCAGGTGTATGTTTAAGAAGAGACCAAGCTCAGATGATTTGAATAAAACATAGGGATATTTGTACTATTTATAATGATAAATAGACTGAATTAACCGCAAACTTAATTTCTTTTGTCATAAGCCAAATATAAAAACAAATTCTCAACATGTGGGTCATCCCCACAGGAGACCCAGTCTCCCCTGCTTGTTCAGTTAAGAATATCCCATAATTCACCACACCAACAGAATGGTGTAGGAAATGTAATGGACTGTGCCAAGAAAGAGCTTTTTCTTTTTCCTGTTTTTGAAACTAATCCTAGCACATCCTGTGGTCTGCTGAGAAGGACGCAGAAGCCTTCTGGTTTTGCTCTTAAATTTTGTGGTGAATGTGGTACCAATAAATAGAAAAGGCATATGAACTTGGATAGAGTCAGGCAAGAAACAAGCACAAAGCAAATTACCTCAGACTTCTCTGCCATTGCATCTCCTTCCGGACGTAGAGCATTGTAGCATTATATTTTAAATACTTTATGAATATGAAAACAAAATGTTGGTGGCATAGCAATGTTAGAAAATGTTTTAACCCTGCTCAGTGCTTTTGTTTGCTAAACTCTGTCTTCTGGTAGGTAGGGGGCATCCCACATGCTCAATCTGTTTAAAATGGCCATGGAGAGCCTTATCTAAATCTCATTCAATGAGGTTTAGAAAGCACCCCTGCAGCAATTTTAAAATGCATAGACAGTGGCTTATACATGTGACAGCGAGGTCATGCTGGAGCATTCTAATCAGAATGCGAACCAGCACGTATATTGGCAGCCATTATGCAGCCTATAGAGTCTGTCAGGAACAGCCCCCCTTTTTGTAGGACATCTTCTTTTCTGGTGATGTGGTGATACTGAAGGGGTTATTTTGTGTGTGGCAATCCAGTTGCCTGGGTTCACACAAAAGCTGATAGTTGGCAAGCACTGAGTAGGCCACAAGTAGTCTTGAGTCTTAAGATTCCTGCACACAGTGTGCCATCCCTGCAGTGCCATTGCCTTTTGTTTAAGCAGATGCCTCATATAGACAGACTCCTAAACACCCAGAGCTTTATTACCACATCATTATATTCTTATTAATACTTTTATCCTAGAAAGACCTTCTAGGATTTAACTGGAATGTAACTGGATAGATAAAGTTGGCAATAGGATCTCCTACTTAGCAGATGTCATTTAGTATTTTTAGCCATTAATTGGAGTGATTTGTCAGTTTTGTTAAACACCAATTAGTTGCCTAGATATTCCTCCTGTCTCAATGTTCTCTTCTCGCTCATGAGAGCGTTCACTGCTAAATATCACCTCCCCTAGCATCAGTCTCTGTGATGGTGAGAGCTGCCACTTCGCAACATCCTCATACGGTGGCAAAATTTAAGCAGCAGTTGTCTTTCTTTTAGTTCCAATGGTAATTTTGTTTTATATACTGTGGGCTATTTTTGAGGGTGGGGGATGCTTAAAGTGTATTGCTGTGATCCTAGAGGTGTGAGTTCCAGACTCATTCTGAAGGCCACCTCCAGAAACCCAGCTGTAAGTGGGTACCCTGTCAATTGGGCTGGGGATTCAAAGCAGTTGGATATGCTGCTACCCAGATCATTTTGTTATAAGCCATTAGTTCCATAAACCAGAACACCTACACCATGCTAGTCTATTGGGCTACTCTCTCATGAAGTGAATCTGTTATTAGCTAAATGAATCATACAGGTTTTCAAAGAAGTCTTTGTGTGAATTGAGCATTTGTGGGTGGTGCTGAATTCACAGTCCTGACACATGAAGCCCCCAGAACAGGCATAGAATGCAGTATAGCTTTGCCAGCTTGGCCATTCTGTCCTAGCAATGAACTTCAGTTTTCAAAGTTGTCTTTTCAAGCCAATCTTTAGCCTCTCTCTTGAGAATACTAGTCAGAGTGAGGAGGTGGAGCAAGCAGTGCTACCTATGGGGCTTTGTATTATGTAAACACCTACCGAGTAGATACTGGGCAGAAGCCACTGGGTCATTTGTCAGGAAAAAACCCCCAGTAAGTATGCTAAAAGTTCTTAGGCACAAACCAACAGCCTTCCAGTAAAAGAATACAGCAGATACAGGAAAATATCAATGTCTTTTGCCATCCTGCTTTTTGCATTTCATCACTGTGAACCCATTTTAAGTCTTGATACAAATGGCTCAGTAGGGGCAATTCTTAAGAGCTTGTCTACACAGAGAAAATCAGGCAAGTGAATCCAAATAACTAAAAGTGTGCATTTAAAATGGATTAGTTAAACTACATTAAGCCTGTGTATAGGTGCACTCATGCAGAATTCATATGGCCTTAGTTCAATTTAGTTTAATTACCAAATTTATTAGGGCCACTGACTCAGGGCCAACATAATGCTTAAAAAAAGTGAAAAAAGAAGAATTTGGTTCAATTGAATTAATCCACTGTAAAAGTTCATTTGGATTAATATTCCTGTGTGCCACCATTTATACAAGCCCTAGCAGAGCTGTTTGCCTAATAAGCAAGACCTCTTGCACAACGTTTCATGGCATTTACACAATTTCAGCAAAAAGTTTCTAACCAACTACTGATACTGTTGTATATGTAGGACCTGACTCCTTAGGGTAAAAATCAGTGCCTACCCCTTATGCCACCTCTTTTTTATCACACTTTCAAGAATCAGATGTTCCACATCTTAATTCATTTGCTTTAAAAATCATGAATTGCTACAATTCTTGTTTGCCACTTGATGGCACCAAGTATTTCTTCTACTCCAAAGAGAGCCTTTGGCTCTGCCAGAGTCTTTTCGAAACCCCTCTCTAAGGATGGAAGGAAGGAATGAAGGTGATTAATTTTAATATTCTGAGTAGACTTAAAACAGGCAAGGAGGAGAAAGTGTCTACCTGAAAAGTGCGCCTCTTTATGACCTGGGGTGAAGCCAGTCGCACTGAATTGAGGAGAGGCAACAGCTGAGGAAGAAGTTCGAACCAGAAGACCACAGGGCAAAGTTCACAAGGCAAAGGAGATCAGTAGGACATCAAGAACCAGAGAGCAGCCAAGAAAGGAAATGGAAAGAAAGGGGGAGAGGGGTAAAAGAATGTAATGAGAATAAACCACAGTTAAGAGACACTTGTGAAGGGCACATGGAAGGACTGTCATTGGGTACCATTCGGCAAACCTCTGAGCTCTTCTGTGTTTTACTTTAAACATATGATGGAATATCATAAAGTATGGCCTTGAAAGCACAGGTTCTCCTTGAAAGGGCTAGATTTTACTTGCTTTTTTCTGTCACTTATCTGTCTTTCAGACCCAGCCCTTCAATTACACCACATAACTTTTCTGATTTTGATTTATCTTCAGAAATAAAATTCACTGAACACATCTACACATGTACCTACCATGTCTTTGTTACGGCATTGTCATTTAGTACCTCCTTTTGGAAGTAGCACATTGCTACAGTGATATACTGTCACAGGTAGATGCACCCGCTAAGTAATTTCTTGTGTCAGTTCTGTTGCTTGCCTCAGAAAGTCTTTACTGCAACATAACATAAAGATTTTTCCCCAAGTTTCCCTAAGTTCTCTGGTTCTCTCAGTGTCTTATTATTAGAGTTGAACAGTTAGACAAATCAATAATGAATATTCCACAAATTACAACCACCAATGAATATATGCAATTTTCCTCACCTTCCTTCCCAGCTTCTTGCCTTATTTCAAGATTGTTCTCTTTTGAAAGGCCTAACAAATTTCCCTCACCATTAAATAAGCACATGTAAGACTTCAGGTTGCAACCAGTATGCTACCAGTTTTCTAATTAAGTCTGAATGAGAACTACACCATTTTCCAAGCTGGAGGAGTCACTGCACAATAACAAGGGATTCCTTTCCAAGAAATGGAAGAATTCATCATCCAAATAAAACTTCAATTTCCTGCCAAGGCCAGCAGTGGTAGGATAAGACCAATTTTTGAACTGATACTTTTTGCATATTAAAACAAAATTATATTAGGAGATAATCTCACTTGTTCAGAATCCTTCACTGTTTCACTTAATGTCTTCAGAAAGACCCTCAGTATTATCATGACCCAACTGTAGAAGACTAGAACTTACCCTTTTTGCTGTCTCTGAGCTTTGGGCAGTGGCATTGCCTCAAGAGTGAAACAAATTGTTCTCTCCTCAGACAGATATGAATTTATTGCCAATATACTGAGCCTATGCATTCCTCATCTCCTTGTCAAATAATAACAATAGTGTGTGATCAGTTTGGGGCAGGAATCCTCTCTTTGTCATACGGCTGACCCATTCAAATCCAAATCATGTACTAAAGCTCAGGACTTCAATTCATACTTATGCTATATCTAATTTCCACTTCTTAACATGCTCCTGTCTTTCTGAGTGCTTGGTAGGCTGCTTTACATCCCAAAAAGTTGGCATTCACAGCACAGACACAAAGCTCAGGAATGGTAGGACCCGGTCTGATTGTCTGTCTTGTTTTATATTGGTGTAACTCCACTGAAGCTATTCTTCCTTTACACTGGTGTAAATAAGGAGAACCAGGTCCTTCACATGAACACACAAGTATGTTTGTGTCTTCAGTTTTTCCTGCGTGAGCTGTGAACGCAAAGCTGAGAGGTATGCCTGCTGGTTTCCCATGACAGTAACTGTGTACATCCAAGCAGTGCATTTTACTCCCCTGAAAGATGGCTGTTTGGGTTTTAGTGCAAGCTAAGATCCAGTCTTGTTGCAAAATGAAATGTCATCACAATATTACACCATTATAGAGCTGCCCTCTGGGCAGTTTTTTAAAAAATAACTCTTTGCAGGAAACCAGCAGAGCAAATTTCTACTCAGAGTCACAATTAAAATGAAGTTCACGGATCATATTATGATGCAGTGAACCTAAAAATAAGCAAGACCTGTTGTACCTAGAGTCTCATTAATGTAGTAAAGATCAGTCTACATGGCTCCTGGGACTGAACATCCATGATTTCAGTGCCATGCCTTTCACATGAGACCAGTCAGCTTCACAGCAGCAGTCTGCACTGATGGCCTTCAAGGTTCATAGCATTTTTATCATTATCTTCTCCCATAAGCTAACATAGGGAATCATGAGTGATTGAGAACACAATCAACCAGGACAGTTTTGACCACAGTGAGTCCCTCCCTTCCAAAAAGCAGGTTTGTATAAAGAAGGAGGTGGAGGACCCAGCAACAAAGGACTTGGGGTGGATAAAAGGTCAGAATTTGGTGGCAACCATTGTTATCCCCATAAGGACAATGAAAATGCATATGCCTTGTGTGGAATATGGTGACATCACTTAACATAATGCAGCATCCCGATGGCTGGAAAATGCAGAGATTCTGTCATTTTAATTTCCTTCAGTGCTGTTTACTGAATTGGCATTTCTATTTAGGGTGTTAGCAGCAGATAGTCAGAGACCGTGGTGATACAAGAGGGCTGGCCTTGGGATGCAGTGGAGCACTCTAGGCCTAGTTGCCATTTTAGTGGGTTCTGAGAATACTACTAATCCTAGGCAAAGGGAAAATTTAACATCCCATTGTATTCATTCAGATAATGATTTAGAAAGAACCAAGATAGACTCTGTGGAAGAGCCCTATTGAATCCTTAGTAATATCTCTGTCTGGAAGAAGTATGGTTATAATGTGGTAAAGTGCAGGGAGCTGAGGGAAAGGTTATTAAAAAGGCATGAGGAGAAAAATGGAGTGTAATCTCAGGAGTCTGCTTAGCCTTCTTACAAAAGAAGCTTGAGTTTAAAAGGACCTGTGTACAAAGTCAAATATAGGATCAGCTTTCAGGCTTTGGGTTATTTCCAGCTTCTTCCTCTTGTCTTCAGAACCTCATCCCCAATAACCCAACATGCAATATTGGATCTACATTCTTGTTTCTTTTGCAACAGAACTGGGTCCTGTTAGACCATTAACCACAAACCTTCAGTGTAAGGATCTGATTAGAGCGTAGAGCTGCAAGTGTAGTACTTAGGTATTCCTGAGGGACAGTGAAGACATAGTGACACAGAATGGGGTCAGTTAGATACATCATATCATCAAGAACAAAACAAACTTTACTGGCTCAGCTATTCTCAGGTTCCATCTCCAGCCCTACCCTAGCCACTGCAATTCTGAAATCATCTCCAACTACCCATCTGTCTTCAGGATTGATGCAGTATAAGATATATTCTGTGGTCCCTTACTCATAGGAATACAGGTTCTGTTTGCTCATGACTTGTGCAATAGACTAACTTAAAAGAGCTAAGTTGAGTGGAGAGGCAGTCCTGATTTTTAATTTATTAAAAAAACCCCAAATGTTCTAATTTTTTAAGATAGTTTGCTATTTCTTGCCTTGTCCATGGCATCCAGTGAAGCTAACAACTCCTCACACTGATGACAATGTCCAATAAAACAAATAGAAATTTCAGCACAGCTAAAGTTACATAAAACTTTTGAAAAAGTGTATTTTTCTGAATTTTCACTTCCCTTGTTCTCTGATATTGAGGAGAAGGGGGCTACAAAAACTGGTTGACTGCTTCATTTACCTCGAGAACCTTCAGTCTACCCAAGGACATTCAACCCAGGAGCTAGTCTGGGGACAGTTATCATTCTTAAGTCAAAAGCTCTCATTCAGGTTAGGAGCTTTTCAGAAGGTTGAATTGGTGCTCCTTTTGAGACCAAAATTGCTGGCTGCTTTTATTGCCAGGCAAGTCAAAGTAGGTTTCCATAACTTAGCTTAGCTGGGGCATTATTGTACTGACCTGCAGTGCCTTCTACTGCTATTAGAGCTTATGTGAAGGCAGCCAACTCTTGGTCACATGGTGATGGTGTTAATTGTGGACCAAAATCCAGCAGTGTCTATAAACAGAGACTATCAAACTGCTGTCACTTGTGACCTAAGATATAAACTGAGGTATAAACTCCCTGTAATTTGTAATCAGTTTCTCCATTTCCTAATGTTTTATGGTCCCCGGCCCTGCTTTTCACCTTGAGCAATGAGGACAGTCTGGAGCCAAGGGCTGTAATAGAACTCGGGACACCGCTTAAGTGAACATTGTTGTTAGCTTTTTTTTTAACATAACAATGTAATGAGACTGCCTGTCTAAATAAACACAGCTGACCTTCTATTATTGTATCGGGGCCGGAACACACAACCTCCCTTCTCCCCCTGCCACCCTAGATGCCACAGACAGGTTTGCTATCTACATGCAGTCTTCGTACCAGAGTCCTGGACCACTCATGGCCCCATTGCTCTCTGGGCCAAGGGCCAAAGCTCTGTTCAACTGTCCAGAGACTCTTCAAAAAATAAACAGAAAGCTTTTAAGCCTGTCTCCCTGTGCACCATGGTTACAAGTTTCAGTCTCCTCATATGATGTCCTTCCAGTGCATTTCCAATGGATTTTCAGAGCTACAGTTGTTTTTAGGTTTGTTTATGCCAGTTAAATTCTTTCTTATAATCCCCTAAACCCCATGATATGCTCCCTCCTCTTTTGATGGTGGTACATGCCGGACAGGGCAGGAGAGGGAAGTAAGAGGGGCTATTTCCTGGCTTTAATAAAATTATTACTGAAATAAACAAAAACAGCTCTTTTTTTCCAAACAGTGGTGCAGAAACAGCCAGGTGATACATTACAATCATTACTTTATGAATAGTGCCAGTGCTAGGTTTTTAAACATAGACACTGTGGCATTATGTTGTAGGTGGACTATTTCTGCTTGCCCACCCTTAAAAAAGCCTCTACCCTGCCCACAGTAAATTTCTAACCCTATGGACACAGGTTTTTTCAGGTGCACTGCTGTATTTCATTGACTTGATCTTTGTTATCTACACTCCCACAGCCCTTTGTGAGCCAGTTTTTGCCCTCAGGATCTCAGCACTGAAGGGGCCACCAGTATGGAGTTCTCCCCAGCTCTGTTCAGTTAGTGCTGCAGAACCACCCTCCCTCCCAAGATCTACAAAAGGCTTCCTGTGTATTCCAGGGACTAGAATGAATGAGGAGATATACAGAGGAGATGGGCCAGGAAGGAACAAATAGCTAGAGAAATACTGAGTCAGGGGCACACCGTCCTTGGGATATTTGCCTGATGCAAACTAGGTGAACAAGAGTCCAGAGCTCCAGGTCATCCAGCCTTTTTCCCATGGGTCTCCAAATATCCTATCCCTCTGTGGTGATAGGGGCAGAGCTGGTGTGAAAGTACAAGGCCTCTGAGCAAATGGCCCTGGTCTCCTTCAAATCCTTAGGTGCCCCACCAGGTTGGGGGATGAGACCCACTACCCTCAGGAGGCAAACTCAGCCCCCTGCTAAGATGGTACCAATGGGATTTTCAGGAATCAGTACATATCTAGAAGTCTGTCTTAGTCTAAAGGAATGAAAATCCCTCCTCGAAGATTCTATGCAATGTCTTCAAATACAGTGAGTCAGTCAGTAACTTGGTACTTGTGCTGAGCTTCATTAATGAAAAGTTATGTATCACCAACAGAAAAGCCATTCAAGCAGAACAGGATTGATATGCAAGAAGCCATGGGATAGATAATAATAGATACTGCTTACCCTGTGTGGGTACTCAGCACATTGACCCTGCAAAAAAGGAAGACAATTAAAAGAAAGCAGTTTAGATATTGAATGCAGGGAAAGAAAATGGACAAAGGAGGGTAGATCCATGAGGTGTAAATGGGCATGGCTACAATGGAGGTTTATATCACCTAAGCATTCAGTCTGTTTCCTGCTAACTTTGCTCCCTTTCCTTCCCACGTTTACTTTAACTAGAGAGCCACAGAAGAAGAGGGAATTTAGTTCAGGAAAAGTTAGCTGACAACCTACAACTTAAAGTTAGAGGGAAACTAGCAGACAGGATCCCCCTTTGACATATGCCTAAACTATCGTTCTGTAGGATTTTCCAACAAGTAATCATTATATTTTCTCAGCAACTGTTGGATTTTTTACAGTTTGGACAAGATTAAAACATAAAAAACCAGGATTCTAAATTCATATTTAGGCCCCTTTTAAAAATTAATCTTGAGTACCCATCACTCAGCACTGTTTAAAATCAAATGATTTATTAAAGTCCTTATGTGTGAATTCAGGAGCTGAAGTTTGGTCTCCTATTTTTGAAAATACTGTTCTTTGTTTCTGGTGTCAGGATCCCTGTCCTGACACAACAGAGAGAAAATAAACAAAAGCTTCCTGAAGTCTCACGTTGCTTCTATTCCATTGCTGCTTTTAACTTCCCTTCAGCTTTTAACATTTACTTGTGCTGCTTCTAATGTGACCATATGGAAAACATTCTATCCTCAGTTAAAATTATAGGCATGGTCATAAAAGGCACTTTGCTGTAGCTCAGGTTTACCCCATATCTGTCTTTTGAATTATATAGCTAATCTAATTTAAAGGAAATTTTTTTAATTTGTGCACTTCATTCATGCCACTTCAACTGTAGAAACTGCAAAGCTATACTCTGCTGTCAGGCATTATCAGCAACATTTCTAGATGAGCTCTTAGTCCACAGCCGTTAGCACTGGTCATAGTTGGGCATGATTTATGAAGCAGAGAGAACACAGATTGTTTTTCTAAAGTTAAGAGGAGGATCAAGCTAAAAAAAAATCTTGGTCTGCTTTGGGAACTGCCCTAGTGTGCTTTGAAAGTCAAAGTTGAAGATGAAAGAGCATCAAGATGAGAGACAGCCACTTCCCTGCCTCTAAGGAGCACCTTTCAAATTTTATTTGAAATCCAGCTCTTTTTAAATTTACCTTCTCTCCTTTTTGTCCTGGAGGTCCCTAGGAAAAAGCAATGATTAAGAAATAAATTAAAGAGTAGTGTGCATGTTAAAGAAAAATATCAGAAAAAGTCTGTTTACCTAAGTCATTAAGGACAGTACTTACCGGCTGCCCCTTAGGACCAGCTGCACCCTTTAAAAAAAGATATTGTTTTGAGCAATGGATATAATTGTTATGTACAGAGACAAGACTAATACAAATCTAAGATAGAAACTGTAACTTTAAGAAAGTTCTTAGCTGAAAGCCCTCATGGTAGAATGAATCTTTGCGATACTTGCCATACAAGAGATGTGAAGATGCACAAGTGCTAGACTTCACTGAAGTTATGTTTCACAGGACAGTGGGAAATCACTGTGGAGGAGACCCACTTTTATTGTTCCCAAATGTTTTAGGGCAGCCATCCACTTGGCTGGTAAGCTGTTTTTTAACAAGGGTGCATCAGAACTAAAAGCACCATTTGCTACTATAGCTCAAGTTAAGACTGTATAATAGGAGGTATACAGGAGCTCATCTCTTCTGCAGTCCAGGGTCACGCCCAGACGTGCACATATGTGCAGTATGTGGTGCTGCAGACCCATCTGTGGTGCCACACACTGCACATGCAGGCATTCTCTACGCTGCTACCTGGCAGCACAGGGTGTTTTTCTGACCCCAGGAGATCCTGGGGTCAAGAAAACCCATGCCAAAAAAAAACAGGGTGGTGCATGATATGGCAGCGTGCACCACCCAAAACTGGAGTCTGGTCAGCTGGAGTCACACTCTAGCTGCCTGCCAGGCTTTCTGCCATGGCTGCAGCTCTGGGAGGCCGCAGCACTCCAGGTAAGGCTGCTGGGGCCAGCACAGTTGCTGGCCTCAGGCTTCCCTACCCCAGCTGGAGTAACCTGCCATGTGCCAGATAATGCATGGCATGAGTGTTCCCTGGGGACAAGTAAAGGTGACACAAGGTGTGGCGCTGCTACTTGTCCCTGGGGAAACAAACTTCAGCACTCATGTGGATGTAGCCCAGAAGCGCATCTTTAACACACAGTTACTAATGGATTCCTGTTATACTTATGGTTTCATTCCCTCTTTTAAAACCTAATTCAGGAGTGCATTGGACATGGACATCATCCATTCATTTCCACAGGAACTGGGAATACTTAGAGCACTGCAATTTTAGACCTGAACACATTGACTAACAGCCAAAGTCTGTTCTGGAATGCTCATCTAAATCAATGACAGTGGCATGTGATGCCTCAAAGGGCAGCATTTAGTCTGGTGAACGAGGCGGTTCTAAACAAAGAAGCCAGGGGAAATGGCAGGTAGGGATCAGGCCCATTTTAATTTTCTGTGATTAATTTTTTTTGAGAAAACATAATCAGTACTTCCAAGAAAAATATCTGGCACTTTGGCCATGCAGCTTCTGGGTGATGCAATTAGCCTGTTTGGTAATGCAATGCATTAGTCAAATCTATTGAAGCAGAAAGAAGAGAGAGCAAAATAATTTGCAAAATAGTGTTGAATTAATCTCTGGCCTTTGTGCTAGGTCAAGTAAAAGCCTGTTAGGCCTCTGACCTGTACTATTTTGACAGATTCTAGGGAGGAAGAGGAGTTTAAGACCATCAGATTTTATTTTAAGTAGAGAGGAAACAAAAACACTTTACTTCATTTAGTGCTTTGCCTTGCATATCAGCATCTAGATTGCAGCTCACTGAAATGAGCAACATTATTGCTGGAATAAGCAGATAGGTAAAATAACAGCAGAGTTAACAAAATAGAGAAACAAAACCAATGAGAACTGAGTCATCCAAAATTTGGCCAGTTACCCAAATATAGCTGGAGGGGCAATTGTTCTATAGAGATATTACTAATTTCTGACTTGAATAATCATGTGAAAAGTGAATTCTGAACCATGTGAGCTCTCAAAAACATAGAGTTAGTCAAAACTCTAGTAAAATTTGAAAAGCTGATGAAATGAAGACTACTAAGAGTCATGCAGGCTTGCTACATTAGTTTCAAACAGCTATATTTTTGTGATTTCACAGCCCAAATTCTTCAAACATGTCAAAGGCACAACCCTTCACTCAGAACTTCATACAGAATAGGACAGAGTTATTACATAAAACTAAGCCCTGTTGGAGTTACCCAAAAATAAAATAAAGCATCTGAAAAAAAAATCTTACTGGGCAAAAAATGTGTTTCTTGTTTTGTCACTGCAGTTTTGTGGTGGGGGTTGGGTGGGGAAGAGAGAGTCATTTCGGACAGTCCAAAATCTTTTGGATGGGTTTTTAATGAAACTTGCCATAAACTTTTACCTCTGAGATGAGGCCAAGCATGAAAAATTTCAGTTCCCACAATATATTGTAAGGGCATAATTACTGACTAAAAATGAAGTTTAAGAATTAAAATGACATCCCAGCATAACTACTGAATTGTGATTATGACAGGATAATCCAGGAACCTCTAATGTTAAAATAATAGCTATACCTCCTATGCACTTATAAAAGGACTGAATTAACTAGTACCTAGAATTAGATAGGTACTTAGTGTGTTAGTAGCAATTAGGGCAGTTAACAAGTGTGTCTATATTAAGGACATGCCATTTAAGTCAAATCCCATAAACTTCCCCTAATGCAAAACTATTAAACCCAGAATCAACACACTACCCCTGCCAATATACATATTTTTTACCATCTCCCCTTTCTGTCCAGGATGGCCCTGAAAGGGAAAAAGAATACATGTCAGGTGCAATCATTTCAGTATCCTGGTGATTCAGGCCTAATAACTCCATGAACGCATCACCTTAATTTGGCTCATCATTCATCTATTTTTGCCTGTTTCTGGTGCCAAGGTATATTCTTACAGCTTCAGTCACAGATAATGGAATATTGCTTTTGCCTATTTTGGTGCCAAGCACTTAGATAAAACTTTTCTGATCTGTAGTTTGGATCTGTATGGTGACATGATTATGCCCTCTCAAGAGGATGGCAGAGAAAACCCCTTTACTAGAGAAAAGATCACAGCTGTTTGGCCTGAGTGCAGTGATCTGCAGAGTAGTAGGAGATTCATTAATTACCTCCAGCAGAGTATAAAAAGGGTGTTTCTGTAGATTAGTTGTAGATGTTTCCAGCAATAGGGGTTGGGGTTTTTAACATCAAGATAGGGGAAGGCCTGGTCAGGGGCTCTGATTTTTCTTTCTGTAACTTGAGTGAGGAAGTTTTGCAGTTTAGACCTTTGTTTGGGATTTTTTTGAAACAACCCACTCTGTATTGCTTGAGTCTGTCAGGGTTTAGCCATATAACATCTGTGTTTGGAGACTCTTTATGTTAGTTTCCCTATCTTACAATTCAGCTCATCACAAGAGGGATCTGAGCTCCACACAGGCCTTTAGAATGCTTTACTGACCTCATGTAAAGTCTCCTAAAAAATGTTGGGGGGCACTAAGTGATCAAGCCTGCACCAAGATGATATGAGAAGCTTAGGGAATTCATTCTACTTCTTTTGCCTTTGAGAACTCATCTGCTCGGTTAGGTTTAAAATGCAACATGAGGGATATGTGCTAGTTTACAGATGACCTGACAAAATAGCTGGATAAAAAATATCAACACTTGTATATGAATAAGGGATTCCCTTCAACTCAGATAAACATATTAGGTTGATGGGCCAAGTCATATCAGTTTCTTTAGACAACAGTGCATAAGGTAGTGGTGTGGATAGCTTTACACTCAACCACTTCTGATACCCAGACCAAAGGTCCAGGTAGCAATCTGTAATGCAGCTGACTATGAGCAAGCCTCTTGCTCTGTTTTGGAGCAACGCTGTTGAATTTGCACCTCCTAGAGCTCTAGCAAAGCATTGTTGCTGCTGTCTCTCATCACCCTTGCCTCAATACTGCCCCTTTCATTATTTAAGCCAACTCCCCAGAAGGATTTGCTGTTTTTCTCATTGTTGGTTAGGAAATAGCATTTAAAGGTCTGGGGGGTTTTGGGAGGGAATTGTCTTATAGGTATAGATATATGCATTATAAGGGTTCAAGATGGGCAGGAGGGGTTAATTGCTTTGGAAAAGCCTGGGTTTCACACACACAGTCCCATATAGCCCTGGATGCAGACAGGCTGTCTAGCATGACAAAGCCAATGGATGGTCACAGCCTGAGAATTGAGGGGGGCATGCCATAACACAAGGTCACAGCCTTCAAGGCAGACAGTTTGTCTAACACAACAAGGACACACAGCCTGGGAACCAAGGAAGTATATATCATACTGTCCCATAACATGAGATAAGTGACACCAGCTACAAGGCCCCAGAGCAGTGTGGCGGCTTGAGTTCCAGGTTTGGGGGAACAGACCAAATTAGGAGATAGCCTGGAAGGCTGTGTGGACATGTGACCACAACCAACCAGAGACAGCTATGGATGAAGAGTCATCAGGAGTCATTAAGGGGGAAGGAGAATACAAAAGCAGAGACTTGAGAGTAACAAAGGGTCCCTCCCTGTCCCTCTTTGATGTCTCTCCTTCTCTTCCTTTGTCTCATCCCTCCCCGTTCCTCCTCCTACTCCTCCCTGAGAGGGGTCCCCATCCCCATTCCCTGGGAAGGGTCCCTAAGGTCACCATGGAAAGACATACCAGCAGTCTGTCTCATGTACCCCACTGGAGGGGGGCTGTGGGCCTTGGCATCCCACCTCCAGACTGCCGACACCTAAGAGACAGAGTCTCATATTTCACCCTTCATCCTCACCCTATGTACTTTGACTCTGATGACAGCCCTAGAATTGGTAGATATAGAATTGTTTGTATTGTTGCTTTTTTGTTATCACTCTGTATCAATAAATTTGCTTATTATTGAATGGAAAGGTTGTGGTCGATCTGAGAGTTGTGCTTGCCTGGAACAAAGGTATAAGAGCTGGGTCGTAAATCCAGTGCCAACACTCATGTTGCAAACCCTTCTTTAGGTGCACAGACTTCACAAAAATCTTTAAAAAAAAGAACACTTTCACTGTGTAGCAGTTCTCCTGTCCAGGTAGTCAACTCAAGGGACATAGGTAGGGAGAAGGAAGTGTTTTACTTACTGGCTTGCCATCCAAACCAATAGGGCCCTGGAAAAAAAAAAGAGAAAGGTGATGGGAAATCAATTCACTGGAGAGGCCACAGAGAATTAGTTGTGAGGAGATCATACAGGATGTAAAGAACAGGGAAGGAAGGATGTGATGCAGTTTTATACAATGGACCCCTTTAGACTCAAGGCAGAGGAGACAAGGACAGGAAAGAAATGGAAGACAAAGGAAATAAAATTGCCTGCCACAGTGGAGGGTTCCTGTAGGAGACTCCTTCTCTTGGCCTGCTGCTCTCTGTCTTACTGGGTATACTGGCTAGCTAATGTATATCCTCTCCTGCCCCCAGAGGAGTTGCTTGCCTGACTACTTGGGGAATATGGAAGAGGCAGGGGAGCAGGAAGGGGGTTGTCAAAATCTTTTCTTGGACCAGCTGTATAGTTGAGGGAGATATTAGACAAGTTTTTGAGCACAAAGCACCCTTCCTCAGGTCATGGCCTTGACATGCTTTGAATGTCCCTCATCGTTCTCCTTAATGGAAAGGTTGGTGAGTATAATGCTGTGTTCAAATGTGTGAAATCCATGGAACTAGCAGGGTTGCTGAGAAGCCAGTGACTGGGACAGGAGTAGGGCAATGGGGGGAGGGTACAAAAATTGGCAAAGAGGGAAAATAATAATGCTTTGTTCAATGTTTTTGGACACCAAAATATCCACGCTGTACTTCTCTACAGCTTTCTGAAAGCATTAACATCTCTTCAGGCTCTTCCTCCACATTGTCCTCCTCCACACTAAACCTCATACTTCAGTCATCAGAAAGAGACCACAGATCTGGCTTCATCCAGGTCTCTTGCCATTTAACTTTTTTTTTAATTTAAAAATTGACTACATCTACTGCAATGAAAGGAGTAATTCCACTTCCTCTTTTCCATAACGCCTCTCTCCCCACCATCACCAAAATGTGGACAGTAAGCTCCCTAATCTGTTGAATGCTATCTCTGCTTCCTTGGGTAATCCTGATGGTAGGACTCCTGGCTGTGGCAGGAAGTAGCATTTTACTGGGAGACTGGTTGACATGAACGTTCAAAGAATATAAGTGGTTGGAAAAATATAACGGAAAACAGAGCATTTTGTATTTTTGAAAAAATTTAAACCACTATGTCAGCTAGACAAAAATGAAAAAAAATCTCACTAATTCTAAACAATGAACACACCTTTCAGTAGACATTAAAAATAACCTTGAAGCTATAGGTGCCACAAAGCTTTAGAAGAGAACCCAGAAGGTCCTGGTGCTTGGAATGGGGTCAGCTTTGTCATATCACTGAGTTTGCTGTCAAGATGCTCAAACCTCAAAAACCATCAAGTACAGAAGAGACTTCCTTCTCTTCAGTGTTTTGCTCTTACCAAAGTGAGGGTGGCTCTCTGGTATTTACTAACTTCCAGAGAAAGCAGCACAAAGCTTAGTGGGCTCAACAATGGTAGATTCTTGAGGGTTTTTTTTCCATGTCTAAGGTAACCCCCTGAAGATCTGTACTGCTTCATAACCTACCCTTGAATGACAACTTCCAGTCTCCCCATTGGAGCCTGGGCTGACTTGAAGAGGGGTATCAGTGGCAAAAGTAATCTTAGCTTCTCACATCTCCAGAATAAATTAATAGAAATATATAGTGAATGCAGTGTTTTGGAACAGAGTAGATAGTGAGGGTAGTGTGGCCAGACTGCCTTAACAGGAAGCATGGAACGGACATGCAGATTTTTTCATACTTCCCAGGATTTATTGTTTGTTACCTTGCCCTTTGCAAAGCTGTAAAGTCACAGCTATATCTGTAACTTTACGGTGCTGCTGAAGAAATTCCATCCATGCCTTTATCCTTTCCCCCTCCCCCTGCTGGGACTCTCTGCCTAGTGAGGTCAGTAGCTGTGCTACACTGCACAGAAGTCTGGATGAATCTGAGAGGCTCTCTATTATTGCAGTATCACACTGAAGTCCATTAAGGCTAAAATTTCACTTACTTTGAGTTGATTTTCTTCATTTTGTGGTATTTTACAGCACAGACCTGGCTTAAGCTATGTTATTTTAACATCGGGTTTAAAAAAATCTTTTAGGGTTTTGAGTACGTGTGTGTGTGTGTGTGTTTTCCAGGTAGCATTGAAGAGAAAAGAAAATAATAATGAAACAGGAAAAAAGTTTTAAATGACATGTTGGGTCCTTGGTTTAGGATAGAAATGCTGAGAAATAAAGCAGCAGTACTGATGCTAGCTGGCAATACTGTGCACACATACATCATAAACTAGCAGTTGCACTTACCGGAAATCCAGGAAAACCTCTCGTTCCAGGCTGTCCCTGAGAAGAATAAAACAGAGACAGGGAGGTTTAAATAAATGTATGAGTAGCACAGTGTTTCTGCCCAACAACACTTCATTTTAGGCTTCCTGATTTAATTCCCCCCAACCTGCAGTCTCTGCAGTATCACTGCAGTGCTTGGGCTAGTCACCCAAGATTCAAGAGTGTTTTAAAAGAACAAGGCAACTGGGAAAACAGAGGAGTCTCTAATCACCCCTTCATTATTTGCAGGGCTAGGGCAGTGCTGGAAATAATCTAGTTTGGACTCTCAGCTATTTGTCTGAAGTTTCTGAGTTAATTGAAGGGGTGCCCTTATCTCAAGAACTGGCCGTTAGGAGTGCTTTTAAGAGCTTGAGTTCATGTCCTAGAAATGCATGATGGTAACCTCTTGCCATGTTGCACAACGTGATAGCACTGGGTGCTGCACAAAATCCTGCAGATCATTATAGTCTGTATCCTACAGTCCCATTCCAGGCTGGGGCCCTAGTGCATTAATTTTGACCACAAAGAATATTTTGGAGCATAGATCTTCTGCAGGACCTAAAGAAAAAAGATATTTTGTATAATATGAACAGGGTATTCTAAATATAAATCCCTCCCTCCTACATCTTTTCCAATAGTTAATTTCTGTCTGTCTAATCCAGGATGTAATCCTAACAGATGGCAGCAGTCACTGGCCCAATGGACTATGACATACCTGATATTACTCATCTTAGGTTCAACAACCTAGGACCAATTAGATAACGAAAGCATCCTGACTACTAGTTTTCAGTACACCAAATTCTAGGCCATAGACCTCCTATACATTTTCTTTATTAACAGGACAGCTTAATCCTCATTTAGCTAAATGTGTGTCAAGCTTGGGGGGAAAAAATCAAGAACTGAATTTCAGCCAGGTCTTGAAATTATCCCTTTGAGGTTGAAATAACTGGATGAAATAAATTCTATTTCTTACTCCTCTACTATAGTGTTGTTGCAGCTTTCCTGAAAGCCATCTTTTGCCAATATCAGTAGGCTTCACCCTCTCTGCTGGGCTAAGTCTTCTTGTCAAATATTGCATGTTTTGAGACTTCTCTGGGTTCTGATCTGGGGAGGGAAATGTGTTTTGGACACTGCTAATTGGGGGGGGAAGTCCCTGAGCACATAACATTTGAATACGACTGTTTACAGGTCACTGCCCTTTGACTCTCTCAGTGAAGAAGCAGCAAAGATTCACTGAAGGGGAGGGTTTTGGGTGCTGGGGATGTATTCAGAGTAGGAAAGAGGGGCTTGGAAAATCAGACAAAATATCTGGTTGGGTTGGGAAAAAGGTGAAGTAAAATATAAGGGAGAGACAATGCTTTTGGGGCTGCACTTCTGAAATCAAATGAATCTCAGCACTCTTAATTCCTCCATCATTATGTTTAACAACACAGATCAGTGCAGCAGCAAGCAATTAGTTGGTAAGGAAGCATGCAGCTTTGTGAGACTAGGTCCAAAAGGCTATGGGAAATGGGTAATAGCCTGAGCAAAGCAATGCCTGCCCTCACCTCTTCCTATCCTTGGCTCACCCTGACAGGTGCTGGAGACTGAAAGGAAAACCAGATGGGGGCCATTCTGGCAGTAGAAGGAGCCCCCAACCTTGGGATATTCCACAAAGGCTGCTTCCACCCCTTTACACCTCTGGAGTGACATAATGGAGCCTTAGCACAACATAGAATTGGGCCCCCAAATCTTTTCTGCAGACCTCTAGAGAACTCCAGCTACTATAAAATGTCTCAAATTGCAGCAAACAATGGTGTTTTTATTCACACTGCTAGCGTGACTGAATCATTTGCACTGTTTTTTAAAACTTTGCTAAGTTGAACTTGGTCATAGTTCCTTTGCAGCATACATATAAAACCACCTGGCTCTGTTGGCTGATGACCAGGGGAGAAGATGTGTTATAAATACAAAGATCCGTTCACTGCTGATTTCTGAAAGGGTGAGAATCAAGGGATCCCATTCATAAATCACTGCATTTTGATCCTATTTGGACCACTCCCATGGACAAAGGGTGCTAAGAAAAGAATTGAGAAGGAAATAAGGAAATGGTGCAATTTGGCCTTTGCTACCTTTCTTGTAAACTATAAACTGCTCCTTTTTACTCCTTGGCTAGACACTGAACAATAAAAGGCCAAAACAAAGATCAGCAACTAAAGATTCCAAGAAATGATATTTTGTCATGTCTTCTTCAACAATTGTTCATATCAAGTATGTGGCCCTGAGAGTTGCCAAATCATGGAGAGTGTCTGCTCCTGCCGCTCTCAACATAATGCTTCTCTTTGGCCAGGAGGCTTGAAGAGAAATTAAGCAGCTGAAAAGTCTGGATGTGAAAACATTGACCTCCTCTTTCCTGCAAAAGGAAAATCTGGAAACTGTTTGTCATTACAGATCTTCCCAAAGTGGCCTATCTCTCCACTGTTTCTTCATTTCCCTTTGGCATTAGTTGATCCTTCATACTTATCACCAGCTCCCTATGAGCACTGAGATAGTTAGCTGTGTTAATACAAAGTCAGGCAGAAGGCAGGCCTGGGTGGGACCTTAGGGCAAGTCTACATGTTCATGAATGTGCTTTACGTAATGCACATTAAATCTAGTACCTCCATTCTGAGGTACTACAAAAAGGTGCATTAGCCTATTTTAGTGCACATCAGTGAAACAGCATGTTTTAATGCACATTAAAATAGGCTAGTACACATTAAAGTGCATGTGTAGGCATGTCCTTAGAAACTATCTTGTTTAGAGGGGCATGAACTTTAATAGGCAGCAAACTACTTTATCAGATTCTATGAAAGGTTTCTAAGGTGACACTCTGCCCTGCCTTTTTTCCAGCTTCCCATGAAATCATATAATCTTTGCAATACACATTGGAGGTAGAGGAGGTGAATTTTAATAATGGTAAACAAATATCCATTTTAAATATAATTTGCCATATAAAGTCTCCTTCATTTTATGCCTTGCACCTTCTCTAACCATCACTTCCTCCTATAGCAGGACAGCTAATGAAATAGAGCAGGAGTGCTCACATTGATGGTTCTCATACTGAGATTGTGCTGGATAGAAACAATGTGCCTTACAGGCAAAGGGCAGTACCTATCTCTGAAGAAACTACAACAATAAAGGGGCTGTCACAAGTGATGTCCAATTACAACTCTCATGACACCTGCACCACCTTCAGGCTGGTTACTTATTCAAAACTAAGTTCCCTACGTGGATCCTGGCATTGTGTCAATGCGCAGACCCTGCTCTGCAACACCATTTGAAATTCCACTCCTGGATCACAGCACAGATCCGCCAAAGCACATCAGTTCTGAACAGGAACCTCCTTTCCCCTGTGTCCACTATTCCCCATCTGGAAGACCCTTTTATAGTCTCCAAAAGTGCTTCGGCTGAGCTCTTCCCATTGAAAATTAAAAGTGTGCACTTGAGTTCAAGAGACAGATGTGGCTAACATTTGACTAGACTTGGGACAACTGCCTGTTCTTGGCTAGAAGAATTGTGACAGTAAAATATCTCTGCCAGTGTCAGAGAGCAGCTCCAGTTCACAGGCTAATGAGCAATGTGTTCCACTTTATATCGCAGGGCCTCTTTCCTTACTTGACATCCTGTTGTCCTTCTTTACTGTTGCTAAGAGCTACCTATCAGAAACCTTCTAGCTAAAGCACTTTTGCAATTTAGCACAAACAATAAAAGACTATCTGCTTTTTAGAAAACTTCAGCCATTAATATAAAAATCATTGTCTTGTGAAGAGCCCAACATTTTTGCATTTGTTTCCTTGTTTGGTTTTGTCATTTATCAAACTGCAGAGAGTGGAGGCTAGGTGGCCCAGGGAACAAACTAAGCTGTTTCTGATTAGGAACACTTACCATGGGACTTTTAGAAAGTAATTGGAAAGCCAGATGCAGCTGACAGTTCAAGCTGCCTATGTCTCTTTCACCTGACCTCAACCTGCTAGCTGTGAAATGAAAGTTCACTAGGTCCCCGCCCTCTCTCCAGGTCAAGGACACTACTCTTCACAGGTTATTCAAAAGAGAAAGTTACCCTTGGGGTAGGAGAATCAAACCTCTTTTGCTCATGCTGCTATGGAAATCTCAGTGCATCAGAATGGATTGACCTGGGAATCTTGACTGGAATAAAGCAGTAATAAAATCTGTAGGGGCAGTATTCTGTAGAGCAGCAAAAATATAGCAAATCTGTAGAGTGAATATTTGGCACATACTGGCTATCCTGGCTAATACACATGGTGTAAGGCTCAGTAACGTCTTTATGAAGATTGATTTCAAATTTAATTTCCTTATAGGTGAAAAATGCTTTTTGAAATTGCTGCTGGAGGGGCAACCATGCTCTGGGCCTGAAAGATGGGGACCACACATGCCTTACTTTTTTCCACAGCATGAAGTTAAAGCAGGGACCCCTAGCAAAATGAATGCATGCTCATGTTACAAATCTAAACAGTAGCCAAACATTGCTAGAAGTAAAATGGAAAACCAGTTTTGCATGGACGTAAAGAAAATAAATTAGCAGATTTCTGGACAACACCATGCATTTGTTGTGCTAGGGAGTACCTGATATGTGAATTTCAGCTCAAGAAGGACTGGCAGGAGGCATAACACTTCTTGTTAACCCTTGGTGCTTTCTGGGACATGAAGACCTTAATCCTGCAAGCTGTTTTAGGTAGAGGTACCTCTGGATCTGTGTGGAACTGTTTGCAGCACTGAGGCCTGTCACTGGGGCATAGCTTTGTCACAGCCTCCACCTAATTTACACTGGCAAAAGAAGCCTCAACATAAAACTAGGTGAGCTGTTTACTGAACTTTTCAAGAGAAACTCCAGATCTGCATTAATAAAAAAATAGGATTTGTCATTTCTTAACCCACTTGAGAAACAAAAATTTGGGCCTGTACCATCGGATTAAAAAATTCAAAGTGATCCATTTTTTTTGTCAGCTCCAGCAGCCACTTGCCCAGCCCCAACCTCAGGCACATTCTGTAAAGCTGAAGAAATGCCACCTGTCAACAAGACTGAAGGCAAAGAACATGTTGCCAAAAAAGACATGCTTCCCCCAAAGCAAAGGATGTCTGCCACCAAGGCTGGGTCATTTCTGCTGCCAAAAAGGAAGAATCTTCCTTTTAAATACAGGAGAGAAAACCGTTGGGGATGCCAATATGTTTTCCTCTTGAAGTATTCTGTGCTCACTTGTTCTAGCACTACAGGCTGTAATTTTATTATATTTAGTATATAATATTTTTATACAAGCAAACCTGCCAAAATGTGGAAACCACAATGTCATGTTACTGAGTCTCTCAGAATGAGGCTGGTGACTTGCTGCTCCTCCTAAGTCTTTTTCTGTAATTCACCCACATCCTGTACCTTTCAAAAATAGAGCGCAAATAACTTACAGGAGGCCCTCGGGGCCCAATGATGGACATGCCCGCTTCTCCTGGAGCTCCCTGTAAGGAGACAAAGAGAGAGAGAGGCAGAAGAGATTGAGAAAAAGGAGGTTAACAAGGGCAAGAATTGGAAGGTGAGGATGGAAGAAAATGAGAGAAGTAGGGAGAAAGAAGTAAGAGAGCTTGTAAGAAAGCAAAAGAGGAAAAAATTAGATCAAGGTCAAATAATGGCAGAGAGTGAATCCATAGAGAGCAGGACAGAGAGGTGGTTGAGTGAGATAATAAGGAGAAGGAAGAAAGAATTAAAAAAGGAGATTAATATAAAAATGATTCATACTATTTTCTATAAAGACTAGGATTTAAATGTTGATTGTTCAGCTCCCCCTTCCCAAGTGGGATAGGAGACCTGCTTGGCCTGACCTGTGCATGAAATGTGGCCATTTTGAACACTCCCTCTCTCCTGAAGAGGTACTGGTGTCATCTTCAGTGCCTTGAGAGAGAAAGTGAAGACCACATTTAATGCCTGCAAGTACTCATGCTTTCCTTCTGCCCAGGGAACTCACATTTCTCTCTTCCTCTATAATCACTTGTTCTGGTTCAGCATGAAGCTTCACCTTCTTTTAGTCTGGAAAATGATTAATATAGTGTGCTAAATGCATGCGGTTTTATACAGCAAAATGGAGCTTAGACTGCAAAAAATTATAGGTACATGAAATATAAAACACTTTCTTTGAAATAAAGAGTATAACAGAGACCCTGATCTCTTTTGAACATGAAATGCTTTGTGACACTTTATGTCAGAGCCAAAAAGTGTTTGCCTAAGAGTTCTGGCTAAACTTCAACTTGCACACTTGTGTTCTGCTTCCCTAAATTTTCCTTGCCAATTTCTATTGATGATAGTGATTTTCACTTCCTGTTCCAGTCTATAGCTGTGTGCTCTTCAAACAGCTGTCACATCCCCCTCTCTCCATATGCATCTATACTTTAGTGGCTCCTATATTCCCCTATACTTTAGTGGCCCCTATATTCCTAATATATACAGACTTTATAAAGCCAGTGAAGTGCTCTGGGTGTCTTTAGAATGAAAGGTATTATGTAAAAGTAAGAAACAAGATCACTAAGTATATGAGTATTCTCCAAAGGTCAGTTAAGCACCTCCATGGGAGAGATTAAAATACTGACTGGATAACACAGCTCTGAACATACCCTAGAAACTATATGCTATAGTACAGAATAGGGAAAGGGTGAGAGAACACATTATAACCCCCTGTTCTTTTTCAGCTCCAGTGGTTATGATTCTGTGAATGGGTCAAATGAGATTTAGTGACCAGGTTGAAATGCAGAAGTTTAGGTCTAATTTAAACTAAATCACTCCAGATGGAAGCAGTTTGATGTACAGTATAGGAAAACAATCCCTGAAATAAATACCTAATAAATAAAATAAACATGTGGAGAGCCCGTAGGGGGTACTCCTGTGCTGAGCCAACCACCTTCCAGGCTCCAAGTACCTCCCTGGGGGTGTCTCATGTCCGGCTGACCCCCTTCCTGGAGCACACCCACAAGCCTGAGGGTAAGCACTGCCACCACCCAGGGTCTGGATTGTTTCTGGGCCCTGGGCCCCCTGGGGTACATAGGCCTTGTAGTCCTTCAGGGTACTTGATCCGCTGCAAGAACTTGGGGTGCTTCCCTTAATCTGAAGCACAAACAGTGGGCTCCCTTAGTCGCAAATGATTTCTACAATTAGTTGAGTCTGGCATGGAGGCAAAATAAAGGGATTTAATTGTGAATTGTATACAAATTTTAGATATTTAGGGTCATATTATCAAGGAGCCTGAATCCAGATTCAATTTGTATACATGCAGCTTTATACAATCAGATCATTTAAGTGATCAAGCTGTGCACTTTGACTTATGCACACAAATGACAGAGCAGATACAACCAGAAACCTTCAGCATCAGAAGTACAGGACTCTATCATGTGAAGCCAAAGAGTGATGCCACCAGCAGGTAGCAGTAAGAAGCTCTTCTCCTTTATTTGGACAAACTATCACTGGTCATGACTCTTTGAATCAACATGTTACACATATACAAATACAGTGAATACTATGCCTTTAGTAAATACTATGCATTCAGCCCTGTAAAGTCCTAACACAAGTTAGAACTTTACAGGGTTTCTTCAGCTTACCCCAGCTGAAAGAGTCGCCAAGGGTCATTTATGCCACCTCAGGGTGACTAGAATGTGGTACACTCTGGCCATATCCCCTTTCCAAGCCCTTGCCCCACTCCCATGAAATGTCATGGTTATATTTTCTCGTTATATTTTTTCATAGGCCTAAGCTGCAAAGGCCAAATCCAGACCTGGATAGCAACTTTCTCAGAGAAAAGTGAGGTTAACACGTGAGTATTAGTCTACAGTCTTTGATAGATTAATAATGTTTCAAAGCTTTGACCCCAGGGAAGTTACCTTCTGTTTAAAAGAGTGAACACTGTCAGCTTGGAAACATTCAAATCAGACATGAATACAGAGAGAAGGACCACATGGCTAGAGGAAGAAGGACTTTGTGTTCTGTTTTTCTCTGCTAAAACTAACAGAAGAGTAACTGGGAATTTGGGGAAAATATTTTAGCTACCTCACCTAAAAAGAAAAGAAGAAACAGTTTGGAAATCAAGAGTAAAAATGGGAAACTGGGCAAGGGTGAAGCAGCTGCATAATGACATATCACAGGAAGGTAAAGAAGCCTTGTTCAAAGCCGTTCATAGAAGGAATTCTTTTTAGATTATGACAAAAAGAGTAAAGCTTTTCTTCAAAAAATAGAAGCCACCGAAGATTTGTTGCACTTCAAAGTGCATGACTGACATGCCACTGTGCTTTATAATATAAAATATAAAATTGATACATAGTTTCTGAAACACCCAAAGACTCAACAGGCTATGATTTTTTTAAATTCTTGTACAAAACAAAGTTTGTCTACAGATCATCCATTGTTTGCATGGAACTTTTTTCAGGGCAGCTCATTTAAAGTATTTTTAATATGTTAGCTATTCAATCATTTTTAGCATCTGAAATCAACCCATGATGAACACATGCTGGCATAAGGAGATGTGGACTGGCTATCAGGAGATGCCAAACATTAGGGGTGTGTGAAGCAGGCCCTATTCAAATAGATTCAGATTTGGCTTGAATCAGGGACAGTGATTCGATTTGTTGATTCGGATCACTGTCACTGATTCAATTCGGCCGAATCTGAAGATTCGACGCTGATTCGGAGAATCAATAATTCGGACATAGACATAGCTTTAAAAGTTTTTTCTACATACCTTGATGTAGCAGGTGCAGCTCATGATCACTGCAATGCTGGGGTGCATGGAGTGTCCCACAGGAGTATGGGGGGCTCACCACATACTTGACAGTAAGTACTTCCGATCCACTTCCGGGTCTGCTGGGGAGTGCCCCCCACCCCCTCCCCCGGCTCGGCAATTAGCTATAAGGGGACCCCGGGTGCCCCCTACCCCAGACCCAGGAGACACCAGTCACTGAGCTGGTGGGGAGCCCTGGAGCACTCCCCAGTGATCCCAGAAGTGGACTGGAAGTGCTTCTGGTCCACTTCTGTGTCTGCTGCTAAGCACACTGGGAAGTCCCCCACACTTCTGTGGGATGCTCCATGTGCCCCAGCATCGCAGCATTCATGAGCCACCTGCTACCTAGAGGTATGTAGAAAAAATATTTAAAGCTGTCTCTATATCCAAATGTCCAAAGCTTTCCTAATCTCTCCAAATTGATTCAGAGGGTTCCGATTCAATTCAGAGAGATTAAAGGGTCCCCTGATTTGATTCGGATTTGGAGATTCAGCCACCAAATTGGGCCAAATCTCTGCAGAATCGAATCAGGGACTAAAGCTTTGCACAGCCCTACCAAACATGATAAAAGAGGAAGTGACCTGAAGGAGATTAAGTACCAGGTCCTTTGCCCTGTCTAATCTTTCCAACCTGTGTTGTTTTACTGTGTTTTTTTCTGTATTACTCTCTCAAAGGGTGCATCTACATATGGGCCTATGGCAACACGCTACATCACCATATGGTGCGCTATGGCAATGTATTGATCACATGGGTCTACACACGATTGACAGCTACATCACCATAGTGGCATGATTCCCTGTTTAGTGTGCCACTACAGCACATAGCTGCTGATCATGTGTAGATCCATGTGATTGCTACATTGGTGTAGCACACCATATGGTGATGTAGTGGGCAAATCTAACCGTGAGCCATGCACACGGTGCACTCTGGGCAGTTAGATGCACCCAATGGAAACCAAATAGGTGTTCCACTCTCATATTCTTAAAAAGTGTTGATCTAAGCAATCAGGTAAAATGTATACACTCCCTACTCTCTACTTTTTGTGATAGTGTTAGAGTGATGTAGCCATGGTGGTCCAGGAAATATACAAGGCAACACTTTTTGTGAGTGATCTTTTGTTAGACCAACATGGTTGAAATAGACCTAGACAAACTTTCAGATGTAGCACATTCCTCTGCAGGTCACTGTTTTTCAATTAGTTAGATACAACCAGAATGAATCCATCCTGCCTCTATTTGCACTTGAGTGTGTGAGTAATCAGAACTCTTGGTCGTTTGTTATATGCAAATTAGTCTCAGATAAAAGTTGGAGCAGTCTTTTTACCTCTCAGTTGTCTGATGGTAAGCAGGACATTGAATTATGCTTCTTTCTTGTTATGTTTCATATTTCACAAAAGGTTGGGTGAGGGAAGGCTCTTCTGGGCAAGGATTTTTTCTTGTGTTGAGACTGCTCTGTGAGCATGCAAATTTGGCTCCTTGCCCAGGAGAGCCTTCCATCACCCATCAGACAACTGTGAGGTAAATAGATTGCTCCAACTTTTCTCTGAGCCTAATTTGCATAAAATGAACTTTTCCAACCAGGAGATCTTACACCACCTTTCAGCTATCCTGAAACATATGAATTTTCATTTCCACCTGGGAGAAATTTTAAAGTCTTTGCACTCTCTTATGCCTGAGGAATGACCCATAAGCCTGAAAGCTTGCAAATAAAGATTTTTTTTTTTGCAACTATCTACTTGGTCTAATAAAAGATAACACCTCTATCAAGAGTTCTGATTGGTTTTGCCTGTAGACCAATATAGCTACAACCTGTATCCTCAAGTGTGTGAAGCAGTACATCTGAAGACATAAATTGCCAATACTGATTTGTTAATGTTTCATGACTTGGATGGCCACAACATGGCGTTTTGGTGGCATGGCAAGCTACCAGCTCTACAAGTGACAAAAACCTCATTCATTATTTTTCAAATGGTTTGCATAGCTTTTACCTTTGACCGTGGATAAAGGAAGAACCTCTTGATCATTTTTCTTTAAATAGTAGAGATATGGTTGATGTAAAACCTTGGTGTGGGAAGCGTCTGATGATAGTCTCCCTCAGACTTTCCCCTAAGTTTTTCTTCTATGTGCTTCAAATTCTAGAAAGGAACAGTTAAGCCATGGTCTCTGACCAGAGGTGGCTAGGGGAAACCAAATAATTAGGAGCTACTAAGACAGAGCTGTTTTTTTTACCACATTTCCAGAACCAACCAAGCACAACAGTCAGCAGTGAAGAAGTTAATGGTGGAAAAATCAGGATAGCCTTAATGGAAATACTGAGTGTCCCCATCCACCACTTGAATCAGAACTTACGATGTTAGTAAATTATAGTAAACAACGAATTGGAGACTGTGTGGGCTGGAAAGAATTCAGGACATAAACTCACATTGTCAGGGAAGACGGGAAAGGGCAATTCAGAGCAATGTATGGTTCAAACACAAAAAGGGCTTTAAAAGCACAGGTCTACCTTTGTCATGATTTGAAGTGAAAGGGTCTCAGATGGCTAAGAGGGGAAGCTGTGAGGTGTCAGGGTATGACATTATGAGCTGGAAAAAGCTGACTCACCTTTTCTCCAGGCTGCCCTTTTAGTCCCTGGGTCAGTTACACCAGCCGCAGCACATGCAAGAGGGTGAAGGGGAGAGAGAGAGACAAACACAGGAATTGGCGTTAATGGCACATTAAACCCAAAATCTTAACAATGCAACAAGAAACAGGTCACAGACACTGAAACATGCTCTGTTTAAAGTTTGCACACAAGCACAGAGACTTTCACTTCCCCACTTCCCACCACCATCCCCTCCTGCTTGGATACCCCTACAGCATCTGAAGGAAAGGGCAGCTGAAAGAGAAGGCAATTGAGTTTTCAGCCAGTTTGAGGAAACCAATTCTTGGTTTTAGCCATGGTGCTTGGCATTCAATATGGAGGTGAACAGAGAGTATGTGTTAGCAATAAGCTCACCATAGTTAGCAAGGTTGACCCACAGTTCAGAGCCATCAACTCGTAAGTCAGCAAGGCAGCAGCAACAGACCTAGCCAAGGAACCTTAGAGCAGGTGATACCTGGGATGACAGTCCCTAAGTAGGCTTAATAGTGAGAAGCAATCTGGCTAACAGTTGGTCCACAATGACCAAGAGCGAGGAGTTCCTGGCCAGCCCCTTTGAGAGTGAGGTAGGAGGATCTCTGAAAAGGGGTAAGAGGATGAATGGAAGAATGTGCTGAGAAAAAAAGTACCTGAATACATGGGAAGAATGGGAAGCAGACATATGTTTAAGCAAGGCCTATGGATACTGATGCCATAGATCTCTTCTCTTTCTCTTCTTTCTCCTCTACATGTCTCATAAAGCCCCAAAGATGGGGTATTAAATATAGTTTATGTATAAAAGATATATGGCATGGCTATATGTAATATGTGGTGAAAATATGCAAAATACACTCAAATCTTACAGATTGAATGTGTTTAATATATTCAGTCCCACCTGGCCAGTTAACGACAAGCTAACAGGCCCATTTGAGGTACAGGGTCTTATTCCATCACCCACCTTTGCACCAAGTAGTAATTTATTACACTTGTGTAAGTTACTGATTTTAGTGGGCCTGCTTACTGAGTAAGGTATTCAGTGGAAAAGTGGTAAAGCTAGGGCTTAAGTGCGCAGAAAGTGCATTGGTTTTAAACAAAGACTGAGCTGATAGTTCTGAAGTCTGTGCCCTACGGTGCCAAAAGGCTCAGGCTGGATTGCCAGCTCTGTTCCTTCACTTCCATGGTTGAAAACCCAGCTTCCTGTGTCCCTCAGAGGGGATGGCCTCACTAATTTCTAGCAGTCACGCTGGACTCCTACCAGAGGTTAACAGACTCTACAGGCAGCTTTTACCAGTCTTCTTCTACCAGCTACAAACAACAGGAAAATGAGGAAGACAATGTGTTTCTATGTCTCTGCCACCTCCCTCTAGATAAGTGCTCCTCCTAAACCATGCTTCCTTCGCTGTGTTCTGCTGTGCTGCATTACTGCAAGCAGTTTCTTTCAAAGTGACACCATTATGGTAATACAACACTGAATAAGAAGGACAGCATGACCATGTACCATCATTGCTTCAGTCTTCCTAAGTATGGCATCACATGAATACTGAAGTAACCAATTCTCTTACATATGGCAGGCTGCATTCCCATTCAGATATTGGGAGGTGGCCTTTGTGGTGGTGCAGAGAGAGAGCTACACAAAGGTATTGCTGAGACAGTCTGTCCCAAACATAATAAAGACAATATGAACAGACCTATGTATCTGACTCCCCTGCTTTCCCAAACTTTGGGGGCTTGGAACAAACTGGAACTACCACAGCCCATAAGTAGTTTCCAAAAGCCCAAGCCACCCATAGTTTTGCCCTTTCTGACTAGATAAATCTCCAAATCTTTTTCTACATTCGCCCCATCACCACTTACGGGAATTAGTAGCTAATTAAGACATTACTTTTTGTAAATGCTTGGCAGATCTGAAGACTCATTAATTCAAGGATAATTACCATTAGTATGTATTAACATTATTTGTTGGTATCTGTAAAAACTAAACTAAAATTTAAAAAGCTTGTACTTGCTAATCAACTTATGTAAAAAACACTGTGAGGGAGTCCCTAAGATGTTCTAAACTGATGCAGCTCTATTGACTTCAGGAAATTGCACCACAATTTGAAGATCTGGCCCCACATGCTCCTAGAGTACTGTCACTTTTGAGCCTAGCTAATTATGTTCAACTGCATGTCAAATTGTGCAGGCATCATGCAGAGACTCATCTTCAATTGCACTCACATTACCCAAGCAGAGCTGAAGATGGAAAGGATTTTGGTGGAAGATTTCCAGGCTATAACACAGCCCCCCAGGCTAACTGTGCTTGAGCAATCCAGATAATTACCAGCTAAAAATGGGGATTGGCAAACAGTTTAAATCAGCTAGTTACAGTGCTTTCTCTCCATCTCTGACGTGAAGCATGGTCATATCTGGAGAAAAGCATCAGGTCCGGTCCATGTTTCAGGATAAACATATACTCCTCCACCCAGAAGATGCTAGGTTATTCCCTCAGAAAGATAGAAATATGTATAGGGAGGAATAAAGAGAGTAGGTCCATGAAGACAAAGATTAGGGAAGCGAAGGCAGAGCAGCAGAATGGAGGGATATCTGAGGTATTGATGCAGTGCTGCACAACATGCACTGCCCAGCTCTTCTTCAAGGTGTGCTACAGATGCCTCTACTGAGACTAGAATGGAGGCTAAGTTAGCATCATACAGTGAGAGGGCAAGAAAAGGCTAAAAGTATTATTCAGTCATGGTAATTTCTTTTTTTGACAGATCTGTATTGTGAATCTGTGCCTCTACTCTCGGCCATGAAGAGGCAAGTACGTTATAGGCAGCATGAAACTATGGTAGCGCTTTGCCAGGCAAAGACAGGGGGCAGCAGCCAGCATTCCTTGATAGTTGTCTGAAGCCCCTTCATGATAGTCTTATTTGGATTTGGGTGCTTGGGTTTCTATATAGAAATGTATCCAGTAAGAGACCCTGGAGACTCACCAATGATTTGTGTCTTCATTTTCAGGGCAAAGCCTCATTAAATTACAAATGATAGGACCAGCAGCCTAGCATTTCTGCATCTCTCATTAAACAGAAGCTAATTTGAGAGGTAGATGACTGAGATGGTGCTCATGGTAGAAGCTGCTGATTTTTTTTTCCCCTAGTCACACCTAAACCAGGCCCTTGAAATAGAGCAGAAGATTGGGAGGGTTATTTTCCTGAATGAATTAAAGTGTCAGCCCAAATGGCCTGCAGGCAGCCCAGGTTTGGAAACAAATGTGGCAGTCAGGCAGATGCAAGAGGTTTCAACTCACCCGTCGTCCAGGGATTCCCATGGTGCCTTTGTCTCCCTAACAATTAATGCAAAATCAGATGGCAATTGGAAAATGGCCATAAGTGAAGCTAGAAAATGATGCAAATTAACTGATTTGTGTATGCAACTTTGTTTAAGAATTTTGTGTGTGTTTTATGGCATACAGACAGACAAAACTCTTGGGTTAGAGGTGGTATCTTTTATTAGATTTTAGGGCATACACATCTGTTTAGCTTTATGTATGTATGTACATATGTAGGTGCTTGTGCATGCAGGGGTGTGTGTGTGTGTGTGTGTGTGTGTGTAAAACATGTTTGTGTGCTTCTATATATGCCTGCTTATTTGGGTACATCTGAAAACATGGGTATATGAGTATGTATGTAAGCCATCACTTTGCTTGTTATTCTTACTGAATAAAGAACCAATAAAACTCAGGACAACATAGACAGGAAAGGAAAGATAAGAGTTTGTGATCTAATGGAAGAACCTAATCACAATTTTCAACTCTTCCTGAAATCCAGATTGAGGGAAGTTGATCCCTTCAATAGCAATTTTTTTTCCTTTCTAATTAAAGGTGAATCACAGGTTATTTATTTCTAAAGCTATTAGGAATTTAAATCATAACTCTCAAAGGTGATGAACAGGTCAATATTATCTAGTAATCCAGAAAAAGGAAAATTATATTAAAAGTTATACTAATGTGGAAAATGGGACAAGATCCAGCTGACACTACAAATAATGCCTATGTTCTGTGTCCCTTAACCTCTAAAGAATATTTCTCAGCGAATCTGGAAGGTGTAAAAAATCCTTACATGATGTTGCTTGAATAAGTCTGCCTAAAGAGGTATAAGATAACACTTGAACTGAATTGCAAAAGATATGGACACCACACCATTGGAGTCTTTTATCATACATAGATTGCAGTTCTGTGGCTTAAAGTATATTTAAATTTGAAGCATGTCATTAAAAAACCTCTATGTTCTTGGCCCCAAAAAGCACGTACTAGGCGTACTTGGAAAATCTTGAATGATGATGTATTTGGTGGTTGTGCAGATTTCATGGTGTTTTGCAAAATTACATTGTAACAGTCCCTCAGTACTGTGTCCAATCATCAGTTTAGATTTGTTGGAAACACTTCACTGTATAAAACTTACTGTTGCTGCCTACACCTTCTCTGTTATTTATTTATCTATCCCTAAAACCTGTTTTCTGCCAACAACTGATGTCTGCAGCATTTCACAGCAACATAGGCAGTGCTGGAAAATACTTCAAGCCTAAGGGGACAAACAAGACTATCTCTGCCACTTGCCTGGGACTCTGCATGTCGTTTGTCAGTTGTTTGATCATGGCAGGGAGCCTGAACATCAATGCTCTCTGTCTGTTAGTGTATCGTGTGAGGGATAGACCTATGCTGATTACACAGGTAACTCTTTGCCAAGGAAAGTACATTTCAGCATGCATAACTGTGTACAGAAATTCCATTTGTTTTCCACTCAGCAGCATCTGTAATCAACTGGAAATACAGAACTATACTGTTGGTCATTCTTGTATTGTGGCCTACCCATTCTACCTGCCAGTGATGGAACTGCAAAAAACAGTGTACAGAGAGGGCAAAATGGAAGAGTCTGTCTTGAAGTTGGGAGAAGGGATAAACTATTTTTTGTCATTCAGTTCTTTGCAGAAACTGGTTCTCAGTGACATCTTCTCTCCCTACCTGATATTCTCAAGTAATACTTAAGACTAATGTTCTAAATGCACCTCACCATATGCTGGATTTAACTGAGGTAAAAGCTGTATTTACATTCTCTACATATAGGAAAGTATTGTTCCCTAATCAATGGACTTTTATTTCATGTGCAAGGCATGCTGTGATAAATTAGATCACAATAATATCTCTACTGAGATAGTTGAAGTGTTGAATAACAACACAATATACAGTAATTTGGTATAATTTACACAAGCAGTATCTGACTACAAATTGAGAGGAGACAGGAAATATCTGCTCTATATTCGAGTTTTTATTCTGTACCCACCAGCATGGCATCTGATCTATCTGGTGCTGGTCTATACCTGCATCTAAGTTCTGTATATGTGTTATAGAGAACAATGGAATTCCTTCTGAAAGAACAAACCATTCCATTGCCTTGCTCTTTGATGTTATTGGCTCCTGATTGGGAACGCATCGATGAGTTTTCTTGTAGTTTTATTTTATTTTATTTTTTTAGTTTCTTATTTTCCTCTAGAGCTGAAATTAGCAGCAAATTATAAAGATGCCAAGCACAGAACTCTAGTGATGTGATGTTTCAGACTTTGGTTCAATTGTTAAGAAAAGCTTCCCGTAAGTATGATGAGTGGTATTTGACCACACAATGATTGATACTGCACAGGACTGATCTGTCTAATATTGTTGCCCGCAACATTAGTTCTTGATGTTAAAGTAGTGTATGAGTGCACCATGCTTGGTATGTTACTACACAGTATTTTGGTCCTCTAAACAATATTAGTAGGGGGGAAATGGTCCTAGTAGTATAGCAAATAAAATGCCAGATGTTTGAGGAAAAAGTAGTCTATTATGTGATGCTGGGAAATAACACTCAGCTTTGAATAATTCTTGTGTCCTGCACTGTATGTTAACACTGTATTTATACCGCTGCTATCTGAGTGACTGCTGTATTTCCAAGATGCCTATAACCTTAGTGTCAAAGCACCAAATAAGAATTATGATGAAGCCCTGGGTGTTCTTGAAAGCTGGTGTATTCTTCCCTTCCCTCAGTGGCTGGAGGGCATGTGGATTATTGTTTTCTTTTTGTGGAAGTCATGGCTGAGGTGACATTTTGTATAAAGGCAAATTCATTTAGATCTGATCACAGACAGAATGTGGCTTATCTGGCTTTCTCTGACAAGGAATCCCATGCCCAGGCCTTGCTTCAGGTGCACCCCCGCGCCCCCCAACCCCTTCAGCCTGAAAGATTTGGTCTGTCCAAGCTACAGGAGCTGTTGTCTTGGAGAGGCCTAGGGAGTGAGGACACCCTGAGCTATCTAAACCCAGTCCATAATAGCTGTGAGAATCTACAGTGAAGATATGGATTTGGTACTGAGATGAAGGAGGAAACCAAAACGGTCCCAGAACCCTTTGCTTCATCTCTTACTGTTCATTAAGTGGGACACCTTATGCTTTATGTGACAGCTAATTCATCTCCAAGTAGAATGAGTTAGCAGTGGTCTAACCTGAGAAGAATGAACACCTGGATCAAGTAGCTAAAATTCCGTCTAAGAGGAAGGGGCACAGTGCCCCTGCCAAACATGGAAAAAGAGAATCCCATGCCACGGTGGCACTCAGTATGCCTGAGAATACTGGGGAGTCCATGATGATGACTTTGCACTTCTGTGATGGTTTGTGTGTTGCTGCCCCCAGATGATGATGAGACTAGAGTATGGGCCAGTCTGTCAGACCATTTTTCTCTTCCAGCTGATATCTTTTCTGCTTCTCATTGGTTGTGTTTTAGACAGCTACACTCCAGCACCTGTTGATCCCACCCAAGTACCTGAGCTATCTCATTTCAGAATACATGTTGACCCTAGAGTCTACATTCCTTATGGTTTATTCATGATTTATCTCAGCCACTTACCATCATTAATACCTGATTTTGATTTAGTTAGATATGGATTTACATATCCCTTAGAAATTGGCAGATTACAAAAACCCGGATTTCCAAGTTTACATCCTGGCTTTTGCTCCAGAGGGAGTGAAGTGAAGCCATGGCATTTAATGAGAGGCTCCGTTCTGCTGCTACAGGTGAAAAAGAGGAGCTGGGGACTGGACAATACCCTAAACCCATGGCCATCCTCCCTTGGGAAGGAGGAGCACCACTTAGGCACATTATCTAGCCTGCCTGCCTTTTATGCTCAATAGTGTGCTGGGTCACTGTTCTCTTTGGTTTCCATGCACCTATGCAGAGAGATGGAGGAGGGGAGAAGAAATCCCCATGGTTATTTCCATGTCCAGCACACATGCAGAAGGTGATTAGGGTAGCTCTCAAGATATATCTATATAGCATATCTACAATGCTGAGTAAATTTGTCCTTACATGACTATATTGCTTCTGATACCTGAGCTTGCTGTGTGGGGCTACCTCAAGTATCTGTACAGTACTGCCTCCTGTCAGGAAGATATACTCTCAACCTAACACAGAAGCCAAGTAGAGAATGAAAGAAAATTCCTCCTTTTAAGAAAATTTTGCATGAAGAAATAGAGGCAGCTACATGACCTGCTATGAGATGACTGTATTGCAGCCTTGTAATGGGACGGCTTGATCTGTTTAAGGTCCACATATCAATAGGTCCTTGCCTAGCTCTGTGCTCCCATATCACAGCTACTTCCTATCTCATCTTCTTTAATCATGTATGTGTTCTTCTCATCCCTCCATGGTTAAAATGAACAATCCATATACTGAAAAATTCCTCACGGTATTGGCTCTAAATAGAACCTCCAATCCTTCCTGAACAGAGCCATATGACCTCCTTTCAGTGAGCAGATAATTAGACAGACAGGGATCTCTTATTTAAAAGGTGATCTTAAAGAAGGTATATGTTTCCTAAACCCAAAAGGAACCTGTAAGGAATGTACTTTGTAGAACTTTGTTCTGCAAAGATCTTTTTATTCTTACTGGAAACAGTATTGGGAGCCATATCTCATTCACAACCTGCTCTCCTAGTCTACCAATGAAGACTTCTACCTTTACCCAGTTTATACAGCTTTGAGGCTTCTCTTCAAAATACTGTCAAGTAAAAAGGGAAGGAGAGAGGGAGAAAGTTAGAACAAATAAGGAAAGAAAGAGGTAAAGGAAAGATATTTACCGGAAGCCCTGGTCTTCCTGTAGGACCCTAAAAGAAAGCACAAAAAAGAGCATTTAATACAAAAAGCAGGAAAAAGGGTAAATCAGAGAAGAAATTGTATGTCTAATTGCATGATTAGAAAATAGAGCAGTCCACATGCAACATGTGAACAGCTTTCTAAGTAGGCAGATAGGATTGCTTTTTTCATTTATCTCAACCACTTTTTTTAAAGCTTTATATCTATTTGGTTTGTGTCCATCACAGTGACCCCCAGATGGACTCTGGAGACACTTGATAGTCCATGAAAAGCTAGCCACATAACATTATGCTTTGTTTTATTCTGCTAAATATTAATTATTCATGTATACAACTGCTTTAGTTGCCACAAAAATACTGTATGTGAAGAAAGGGAAGCTGTCCCTCAGACACTCTTTATTATGATGTGGTCCACCCTACAAAGAAGTTTAAGAAATTCTGGAGCGTCACTTCATTTTGTAATGCTGAAACTTTCTTCTCAATCCTCAGATCTTGGGCTCACAGGATTGCTGGGTTCCAAATTTCCTGGCCTACATCAAAACAGAATCTTTCAAATCTGTTATATACTGGAATGACTCCATCTATGTGTGATTTAAGATACTTCCATTTTTCAGAAATTATGTGCGCAAGACGGTGGAAAGCTAAAGAATGTCTTCACTTTATCTGTTTCTCACATTTGGAATGCAACCATGCACATCCATTACTCTCATCTAGGAGGCATAATTCTGTGAAAACTAGCACCTCAATTGACTCTAAATGGGTATAGGGTAAGAGCTGTTCCCACCGAATACAGGATAAAAAATTTTAGTTTATCAGCATTTTAAACCACTACCTGGAGTGACATATATGACACCAGCAGTTCAGGAACCACTGCCACAGACATGAACTGGTTTCTACACCTGTGCGAAGCAGCTAGTATTCGCTTTGGATTTGAATTCAGCCGATTTGGGGGACAGTGATTTGATTTGGTGATTCAAATCACTGACCCGAATCGATTTGGCCGAATATGATTCAGAGATTCAGCTGCTTCTGAATCTGCCGAATCTCCAAATCACATAGGCCTCATCCCCCACCCACTCTCCCGGCAATGGCTGCCCTGCCCACCCCAGCTCTCGGCTCTTTGAAAAACAAAGTCCCCACTCACCAGCTGTGGGGGGGGGGTGATCCCCACTGCCTCATGTTGCCCCACATCATATGGGGGGCTCTG